ATGGCACATTAATTCAAAGTACATATCTCAGCAGCAATAAAAAAATAGTGATATGAGAAGATTTTCCTGATATGATTTTTTAATAAAGTAGTCAGAGTAAACAAAAGTGAATCTAGTTTTATAAATATGTTTATTTGTTAGTATAGTGGTGAGTAAGAAAAAGACAGAAAATGTTTCTTGTGGCTAGATTGTTAGTAATCCTCAATCCCTGGGAAAAATTTGCTTTATTCTCATTATTTTAATATTAGGGCACATTGTAGAGATATCCTTATGTACATATGTATAGAAGAAATACAAAATGAAATACATCAAAATGTTAATAGTACATTCTTTGTGTGATGGAATTATAGACAATTTAGGGGTTTTTTTTGGGTACTCTTTTGTATTTTCTGAATTTTCTGTAGTGAACACTCTTACTTTATTTTTTTCTCCCAGGAGATCACAACCTTCTCCCCTACCTTTCTTCCTTTTTATTTAATTTGAATAAGCAATACTGTCACATGGCCCGAAATTGAAAAAGTATAATACGGTCTGTAGAGAAAAATCTCTCCCACTTCTGTGACCAAGCCACTTGGTTCTCATCCTTGAAAACAACCAATGATACCATTGTTCTGTGTATTCTTCCAGAAATATTTCACGCCTAATTTCACTGTAATCAGAACAAAGCCACAACAAACATATTTTTAAAATATTCTCCTCAGTTTAAGATATCTGGAGCTCTATTGATCTGTAGTTCTATCTGAGTCTGAGTCAACTAATATAGTTTCTTTAAAATGATTGTGATTGTAGATATGGTGTTATCTGTTTCCTTTGTAAAATCTTAGCCTTGTGGTTTTAATGTTTCTAAAATTCTGAGATAGACTTATTTTATTCCTTCTATTCCAATATTGGTTCACATTTCAGTTATTCATATATTTTTTAGGGAAAATCCTGCTATTTTTATCATGGTGTTCATAAAATTAGTGATCAGCACACATTACAGACTTTCCAAGGGATGTGCAAAGCCTGGGATATAGAGGAACTTGTCAGCCTGGGGAAGAAACTAAAGGCCTGTCCATATTATACAGCTCGAGAACTAATAGAAGATGCTGACATAATATTTTGTCCCTACAACTATCTTCTAGATGCACAAATAAGGGAAAGTGTGAGTATATATGTAAAAAGAACTTCTTTCCTGCTTATTGGGATATAAATGTTCAATGTAAAAGCTTTTAGATGTTTTAATGTGTTTATTTTTTACTTTATATTTAATTTATGTAAATAAATTTGTGTAAACATACCACAATACTGAAAACATATTCTAAAGTGTATTATTAATAAAAACTGAATTTTAGACCTAGTCATTTTAATTTCCAAAGTAATAAGCAATTTTAAAGAACTAGTGCTGGAAGTGGGATTATAGCAGGGTTTCTCAGTCTTGGCAGTAATGATATTTTGCGTTGGATAATTCTTTGTCATGGTGGGCTGTCTTGTGCACTGTAGCATGTTTAGTAGCCTTCCTGGTTTTATCTACTAGATGCTAGTAGCACCCTCACAGTTATTACCATCAAGAATGTTTCCAGACATTGCCAAATGTCCCCTGAGGAGCAAAATTATCCTCATTTGGGGCCCAT